AAATAATTGTTATCAAGTTACTTACATGCAACTGTGTATCAAATTTATTGCAATTACTAAGTGTAAAATTACTTGCTCGTTGCACAGTGCAATTCGTAGTGCAGATCTAGCCTCAACTTGATCTGGCCTTCATTTCGAATCCTTAATTTTCTTTATTTTCGAAATTGAAAGCTTAGATCTGGACCACATTAGCTCGACTTGATTTGAACCGCGAACAATTCTCTGCAGTAGCACTGGCAATTGTGGAGAAACCTTGTCCATGATAGTTATGAGTTTTCGGTACGTCTGTATTTAATTGCAAAACAAACCTCCTAGTTGAAAAATTAATTCAGCCATCATATTAGGAGGCTTCTTTTATTCATTGTGGAAGTGTTAAGAAATTAGAGTTGACAAGAACGGTTGCACTAAACAGCGTATTTAATTTTTTTTGTATAGTTTACAAAAAAAAAAAAATTTTATATTCCATTATCATAGTTAGCTGATTAATATTTGACAAATTGACGAATCATACTTTTGAATTCTATATCATTTTTTAAATTTTGGACCACGGACACCCATGTACAGGTGGCCTGTACCATTATTGAGCAAGTCAAAATCCCATAACATTAACATCAATAGCCTAACGAATTAGTTATGATGTCACTTCATTTCCACCATTCAAGACGTGTTAAATGGAAAGTACCAATTAGCGCAATGAGTAGCTGGATGCAGTAATTGAAGCTGTCATGACATTTGATTTAGATCTTTCATTCTTTTTTTTTTTTATGGTAACGATAATATTTTTATAATCTACACTATCCTATTATAAGGGGGAAGGAGAGCCTAACCGATGGAAAATAACATCAGAGGAAACTACTAAAAGTGACAAGTCACATGTAGTGATAAGTTTTTTTAAATAAGAAGTAAGATTTGAATCATTAACCTTCAATTCCTGCCAATCCCAAATGGCCGTTGGCAGATCTCCATTCATGATCCGTTAAAATGTTACTTTCAGCGTCAGAAGAAAATCAACTCCAACCAATAATAATAAAGAAAGATCCTTAGTCATGGTGCAGCATCCAATGTATCATTAGTAATCTATAAGAAAAATACAGAGAAGGACCATCTACATGTGACATTTTTCAATTGTGTGGAAGGTTTCGTTTATACCCCCTTATGATCAAGTATTAATGAGCCCACGGCCATCAATTTTTCTCCTTTTCTTTTCTTGGGCCATATATTTTCTGCCTTTTCTTTTTTTTTTTTTGGTGTTTTTGGGAGGGGGGGGGGTGTCTATGGCTTCCAAAAAGGAAAATTAAAACCTAAAATCGATTTCAATTAGCTCTTAAAATCTATTTAGGACAATGGAGAAATACATTGGTGGAACCATAGGTTGCGATTTGGGAGAGAGTGGGGCAAGACTAGTGAAGATGCATACTTAAGGACTTTTATATTTTTGAAAAAATACTTGAAGGGTGATATAAAATTCATTTATCTTGCTTTTCCGTGTCGTAGCCTGTGAGTGCCCAGGCTGTATGCCAATACGAGTATCCAGGTGTCAAATCTTACAGAGAAGATTAATTATGCACCAATGTTTATCAAACCCCTTTATTAATCAAATTACGAACTGTCACAAAATTTAATAAAACAAATGATACTAGCAATAACAATTAGAATCAAATAATGCAAAAAATTGTCAAAAGAAACTATTATTAGGGTTTAGATTTTTGTAATTATCCTGGTCAAAAACTTATTTTGGTTAATCAATTTACTCTTGTGCAAAACCATGACGAACCTCTTAATGTCATAAACCCTCTTTAGCCAATGTATTATCTATATCAAAAACAAAATTTAGTCTACTTTCGTGATTTGAAGCTAATTAAAGACTCATTAGGATCTTGAGATTATACAAATCATCCTTTAAGTACTTCCCTACTTTCGTGAGATACAATTAAAAGTTTATGTCTGTGACAACAACTATTAATCAATAACAATTGTCTATCAATTAACAACTTATATGCTTTACCATTAAGGACCCTTTTAATTGTAAAGATGAAAACAAAGACATAAAAAAGCCCACATTAGATTCACCAATCAATCGAGATAAATCATATATGTCAAGATAGATCACACACACAATATATATATATACACTCACACACACACATTATATATACATAAATATACATAATACATATATACATACAAACACAAAATATGTATGTATACATATACATAAATATAATTATTTATTCATTTACTTATGTATATGTTTGTGTTTATACATGTGTCGTGATATTTGATTTAGATCCTCCATTCATGATCTGTTAAAATGTTACTTTCAGTATCAGAAGAAAATCATCTTGTACCAATAATAATGAGGAAAGATCCTTGGCAATATGCATCCTTAGTACTTTAGAAGAAAACTACATAGAAGGACCATCGATGAGTGACATTTTTCAATTGTATGAAAGGTCACGAAACTTCAATTTTATACCCCTTATAATCAAGCATTAATGAGAGCATGGCCATCAATTTTTTTTCCTTTTCCTTTCTTGGGCCATTCCTTTTCTTTTCTTTCTTTTTTCCTTTTGGTGTTAGGGGGGGGGGGGGTTCTGTGGCCATCTTCTTCTGAAAAAAAGACAATTAAAACCTAAAATAGATTACAATTAGCTCTTAAAATCTATTTGGGACGTTAGAGAAATATATTGGTGGAACCACAGGTTGGGATTTGGGAGAAAGTGGGGCAAGACTAGTGAAGATGCATACATGAGGAGTTACTTTTATATTTTTGTAAAAATACTTGAAGGGTGATGTAAAATTCATTAATCTTGCTTTTCCGTGCTGTAGCCTGTAAGTGCACAGGCTGTATGCTAATACAAGGTGTACCAGGTGTCAAATCTTACGAGAAGATTAATCAAGTACCAATATTTATCGAACTCCTTTATTAATCAAATTACGAACTGTCATAAAATTTAAGAAAACAAATAATACTAGCAATAACGATTAAAATCAAATAATGCAAAAATTGTCAAAAGAAACTATTATTAGGTTTTAGATGTTCGTAATTATCCTAGTCAAAAACTTATTTTGGTTAATCAATTTACTCTTTTGCAAAACCATGACGAACCTCTTAATGTCATATACCCTCTTTAGCCAATGTATTATCTATATCGAAAACAAAAATTAGTCTACTTTCGTGATTTGAACCTAATTAAAGACTCACTAGGATCTTGAAATTATACAAATCATCCTTTAAGTACTTCCCTCATGAGATACAATTAAAAGTTTATGTCTCTACCAACAACTATTAGTCAACAACAATTGTCTATCAATTAACACCTTAAATGCTTTACCACTAAGGACCCTTTTAATTGTAAAGATGAAAGCAAAGACATAAAATAGCACACATTAGACTCACTAGTAAATCGAGATAAATCATATATGTCAAGATAGATCACACACACAATACACACACACAAAATATGTGTGTATATATACATAAATATATACATCCCATATAGATACATACATACACACATACAAACACAAAATATGTATATATACATGTATATTATTTATTTATTTACTTGTGTATATGTTTGTGTTTATACATGTGTCGTGATATTTGATTTAGATCCTCCATTCTTTTTTTTTTTTTTTGCTGACGGAGTGGGTGTCCTCCATTCATTCATTCATTCATTTTTTTTTATTTGTTTTAGATCCTCCATTCATGGTCTGTTAAAATGTTACTCTCAGTATTAGAAGAAAATCATCTTGTACTTTAGAATGAGGAAAGATCGTTGGCAATAAGCATCATTAGTACTTTAGAAGAAACTACATAGAAGGACCATCGACAAGTGACATTTTTCAATTGTATGGAAGGTCTCGAAACTACAATTTTATACCCCTTATAATCAAGCATTAATGAGCCCACGGCCATCAATTTTTTTCCTTTTCCTTTCTTGGGCCATTTCTTTTCTTTCTTTTCCTTTTTTTTTTTTTTGGAGTGAGGCCCCGCGGCGGGGGGGGGGGGGAAAGGTTGGTATTAAAACCTAAAATAGATTTCAATTAGCTCTTAAAATCTATTTGGGACAATAGAGAAATACACTGGTGGAACCACGGGTTGGGATTTTGGAGAGAGTGGGCCAAGACTAGTGAAGATGCATACATAAGGGGGTACTTTTATATTTTTGTAAATACTTCAAGGGTAATGTAAAATTCATTAATCTTTCTTCTCCTTGCTATAGCCTGTAAGTGCACAGGCTATATGCTAATACAAGGAGTATTCAGGTGTCAAATCTTACAGTGAAGATTAATCAAGTATCAATATTTATCAAACTTGTTTATTAATCAAATTACAAATTATCACAAAATTTATGAAAACAAATAATACTAGCAATAACGATTAAAATCAAATAATGCAAAATTTGTCAAAAGAAACTATTATTAGGGTTTAGATGTTCTTAATTATCCTAGTCTAAAATTTATTTTGGTTAATCAATTTACTCCTGTGCAAAACCATAACCTCTTAATGTCATGTACCCGCTTTAATCAATGTATTATCTATATCAAAAACAAAAATTAGTCTATTTTCGTGATTTGAACCTAATAAAGACTCATTAGGATCTTGAGATTATACAATCATCCTTTAAGTACTTCCCTACTTTCGTGAGCTACAATTAAAAGTTTGTCTTTACCAACAACTATTAATCAACAACCGTATCCGTGGACGGTTGTCAGGCCTACTATCCTGAACCCACCACTCTCCACCGTGGCCTTCTACTCAACCTTTTTTACTAAATGTCTCGTAGCAGCATAGCAAGTTCTCTCTTCTCATCGGATTTGGGGCAGGGACGGTCATCAGAAAGACCGTCCCTGAACGGTCCCCTCACAAAACTGAATAAGTGGCCAACATCAATCCACGTTGACAAGGTTCAAAACAGAGTCGTTTTGATTAGTGAGTAGGGAAAAAATTACTAAAAAACATGTGTGAGCCTAACGCCTCCGTTACCAACCATTGAAACTCTATTCCACAAAATCCCACCCAAATTGACTCGTTATGACTATTCATTTCAATTCTTCAAACAAAAAACTCTTTTTAGTCTCCCTCCAAAAAGTTGTCAATATTCATCCACAACTTTAGAACTGAAGCAAAATACAATCAGTGAGTAGGAAAGTGGTAGACAAGGGAAGGAAGAAGAGAAGTCAAAATATACTTAGGAAAAGGAAGAACTACCTATTGAAGGAGAAAGTCTTGGAGGCCTAATATCTATAAAGACTTGAGGAAAGTTAGGACCAAACAATGAAGCTAAAGATGATGGAGTCCGAAGCAATGACACCCAATCGCATCTACGTAAACCCTACAGGTAACAATATTGCAAGCCAATGACATAATTTTCATTGTTTGGTGAATGGCATCCCATGATTTTATATCATGATTGTGGAAACCCTATGTATGTTAGAAATCAGATCTGTTCATGGCCCATATGGGAGAGTAAAGTAGAGATAAATTTTGCACACCAAGTGTTTGCAAAAAAGAAAAAGAGAACTTCCAAACCAATTAGTAGAAGGAGTTGTTAGGAGGGGATAAACAGGGGTCGTAACTCTTGCATTAATAGCAATAGTGTAATCATTATATGAACTAAATAGGTACGGGAGATTTTAGGTTGATAAAATAACAAGGAAATTTTGAAGTCAAATTTTTTTTTTGCTCTGTATGGGTGGATAAGCAGGAACGCCTTATGATGTGCATAGTATTATTGGGTGTTTATGACCGATTACGTTGAAGTAGTACGAGGTATACATTAAGAGTAAAGGTAAAAAAAGTGAAAAAATTATGATAGATTACAAGATGGCCTACCAACTATGCATAAAAGCTAAAAGAGGGAGGAAAGTGCATACACTATTAGACATCAATGGGTAATACCTCATGTTTGAAAATTAATAGTCAATCATACTATAGCAGTGTAGTAGGTGAAATAAATTATTTCAAACTTGATTGGTATGAATATAAATGTCAATTTGTATGTGTTAGGTCGAATGTACATATTGTTGAATGTGACCCACTTAGTGTAATAAAACAGTTACGAGATGTTTTATTAGTAGTGTGTCCGTACATTATGTTGGACACCTGTTACTTTTTGTGAATACATAGTGATAGTGAAAAATATATTCATGTAATTGTAAATTAGTAATCAATTAACATAATAATGTTAAAGAAAGGTCACATTGAAGGAAAAAAAATAAAAGGAAGGCAGGGAGGAAACTGGACATATTGAACATTAATAGTGGTTGTTATCTTGTGTTTGAAAGTTGGTACCTGTTCATACAATAGCAGTCTAGTAGTTGAAGTGGATTGTTTAAAAGTCAATTGGTACAAGTATAGATTTTAATTTATATGTGTTAGACTAAGTGTGCATAGTGTTTATTGTGCCTTACTTAGTTGTAGAAAATGGTTGCAAGATCTGTACATCATGTTGGATAATTATTATTATTGTGAATAAATAGTGACACTAGACAAACACTTTCATTCAATTGTAACTTAATAATCAATTAACATAATCATGTTAAAGCAAGGTCGGCGGGATTTACAGTGGAAGGGAAATAAATAAAAGAAAGAGAAAAGTGCACACACTATTAAATTGATAATTTGTTATCCCATGTTTGTAAAGTAGTACGTATTTCTATAGTACCAATCTATGGGATTAAAATTGATTGGATAAATGTAGGTTCTAATATGTATGTATTAGGTTAAATGTACTTATCATGATTTTATAGTGTATTATGAATGCTGGGTAAAAATCTTAAGCAATTAAACAAATTTTTTTTTTGGTCCAAAATTGTTACAGATGACATGAAGGAGATCGAGATTGGAGAAATGCTAGCTTAGGAGTTGTTTAATTTGGCTACCAAATGTCATAGAGGATTCTAAAGATTGAAGATACTTTGCATACCAAGGCCAAAGCATCATCCAGCAAGCCCAAATCAACGAACAAAGGGAAAAAATCACTACAGGAAACAAAGGTTGCAAATCTAAAATCAAACGACAAAAATTCTGAATATGAATGTGAAAAAGAAAGGGATGACGACAAAGATGCCGAAGAAGATGTTTCCGATGAAAACGATGATGAAGGCATAGATGAGGGAGCATCTGGAGTCAAGCAATTTAGGATTCCTAATTTAAAATGAAATAAATTGTTTCTGATCATTGTAACATTACCTAAACAAGTTGTAACTCCTTATTAATTGCTTGTACAAATTCACAATATAAGTGTGATAAATTTAGCAGCTGTTTCTGTGGGTTTCATGCATAATAATCGCGTATCTATTATGTACTTATACAAATAGTTGACATTATCTTACAATCAGTTCAGACAATGTTACATTCATTCCTTGTCCACTTTCTACAATTTGCAAATTCAATCAACATGAATATGAATAATATTTAATAATTTGTAACAATTTTATAATTCTCTCTAAATTCTATACGGTTGATTTACCGATGCCTCAAACAACAACTTTGGCCAACATATACATAGTGGTCGAACTCCATTCTCATCAGATTGTTATCGATGAGTCGATTTCTAGTTCATCATGCTAACTCATGGTTATATCTTATGCATATTTTCTACTACTATAAATATGGTTAGACTCAACATTTCTTAAATTCTATTGGAAGATGAGGACTGACAGCCATCTTTGATGGGGATCTTGGGCACCAACAGTTGTTAGTAACAACTATTCTGAATGATATAATATTTTTTGAACAAGGTATAGCTTTATATAAACTATTTGTAAAATTTAACAACAGAGACACAAATATTATATATGAGACTCATATGAATAGTAACAAAATATCACATCTCTGTTATAAAGATGTACAAGTAGTTAAGGAGGACTTACAATTTGTGCAGAGAGAGTTATGCCGTTCACGGACAATTGATTTGACAACTATCCCTGCCCCAAATCTCTTTAGAGGGTGTTCTAATTTTGTAACAGGTAGTAACTCAATTTCAATTGCTTGTATGTTTGAGTGACATAGATGTTATATACAACTATTACTTGTACGTCTCAATTATTATTGACTCATAGTCATGTGGCACTTTCTGATTCTTACATATCTTATGAAAATCATTACTGGCAAAGGTTGTATGCCATTGATTACAATCATTCCTCAAAGGTGTAATGGCTTACCAATAAGTTATAATACATAGGTAACTATTTGTAATTTCTCATAACAGTGATGCAATTACCATGTCTGTGACCCATATCAACACTGGATAGAATATCACATAGTTATTGTTTAGTTGTACATGTCATGCACTGTATCTAACAACTTATTGAAATAGCATTATACTATCCATGACATGATTCGCTAATTTAATCAACAATCCGAAAAATAAACAGTGGACAGGAAAGTGAATAATAGCAATATTGCCCAACATTCACATAGTTTACTCTGTAATTTATATGGTTACAGCAAACATGCTGAATAGTAATTGACCTCTACCAATTGGCACTGTCCAATTTTTTTTATATATTATAACAATTTGTGAAATTTTTGAATATAGATGTAACAATGCTAAAATCAACTAAATTCTAAGAATGCAGGAAATGGTCTCAATTTTGAAATCAACTAGTACATTTGTCCGAAGAATTACAAATGCCTGGAGCACTGCCTTTAAAGTTTTGAACTTAACACCCGAACTCCATACAACTTGTTTTGTTCTCTTTCGCCCAAGATGGTGCCGGCAATAGAGAGCCATCTTAGCAACAGATAGTTATGCTCCAACTTTAGCTCCAACATGTGGTAACTCCATCCTTGTCTTTGTTTAAGTAGTCCTATCGAACACTAAATTTCGTGGCAAATCCATTTTTATTGTCGAAATTATACGCTTTGTCTTCTATATCAAACTCCATTCCAATTTGTGAAGGCTCATCTTCTGTCCATTTCAAGCATTCCACTACATGAATTTCTTTTGTTTAGAGTGTATAAATTCATCAATATTATGTAAACATTCCATAACAGAGTGTATAATTGCATGCATACCTTGTACATGCTATCTTAGACCATGTAGAATCAAAACTCTAACATAAGTTATAGTACATTGCAGTTAAGGACTCATGACAACTGAATCCAAACTATCAATTAAGAAATTGAGCATCCTAAGAACCTAAATCCGACCAGAATCAAAAGAGATAAGCCCAAATAAACCAACATAGGATGCAGAAGAAATGAGGACTATAATTCATTCCTCAAAAACTGCTTTACTCTAAAGCTACTAGTGTATGCTACATTTTCAGCCATCAAGAAGAATAAGCGAAAAAAAAACTATTGCTTTCTGTTCAGATCTACTTTTCTCGTACCTAATTAATATGCCAAATCATGCAGGGGAAAATTCTAACAATTAGAGTTTAATTTTGTACCCATAATATTAAATATATATAATTGGAAGAATCTTTCCAAAAGATAAGCAAACTTGCATAAAGGCAACTAAAGATGATTGTTATGCATTACAAAAGAAACTATCTAGCAAAGAATATCCAAACATGTGGCATATATAGGAACAAAGAGATAATAGAATCACAAAAAAACTGTTGAATAATAAAATTTTTTCATAGAATGCACAAGTAAGAGAAGAGGCAACTATAATGTACAAATTATGGTGTCTCTCAATCCGATTATGCAACAGAATATCCTAGTATGTACAACATAACCATTATTATAATAATTCTAACCACGTGTGTTACTCTTAAAATTATCATATAGCAACATGATGACTAAACAGTGCTCTAACAAGACATACTTGTACATATACCAAAACTCAATGTAATACTCATGAAACACATTGTGAATATTTTCTAACGTTGTGTATAAACACCACGTGTATATATTTGCTATTTTTGATCTTACATCTACATATCCAAGATTTAATCCCATTAACAACACTTAAATATTAACATTATGATAGCAATGATTTTTCACTTGTACAAGCAAATGAACGCACTGTTCTTCTTGGGTAACAATGTGTACAATCAAACAGACACGCTGGACAAATAGAGCATAACTTCTTTTTCATTTAAATATTAGTTTCTACTAACATTGCTACCCCTACAATTTCTATCCAATTCATATGATAATCAGCATCATTACCTTCATCAATGTCCGCCGCATTGTTGTAACTATTTGTTCACCCTGTTATAATGTCAACTGTCTTGGCCATTATTGTATGCTACAACTGCAATAGTCTTTTCCAGTTTAGATCACTTCTTGGAAGCGATGTCGATGCAAATACTATGATTGCTTTGGTGTTTATATTTGCTCGTACCCTTGCCGTTCTAGATATGGGTGGAGGTCCAAATTATCAACATTTAAAACCCACCACAGCAAGACTTTCTAACCCTAATTTGGTACACAAATCTGCATTTGCTATTTTTACCCTCTCTTCTCTGGAGATAGATTGGTATTTCTCACCATTCTTCTCTTTCCACTATACCTTCAAAGAACTAAAATGAAAACCTTCTTTTTTGTCAAGGTTTTCCCGAGTTTGTTTTCAAAATCAGTTTTGAATTCAAATTTTTAGTTCAAATTTCATATTTTAACAATTCTGTTCCCATATAACACCGTTTATGTTGGTGTTTTTGAAATTAATATTTTTTTTGAAACTTGGTAATTAAATGGTGTCGTTTTGATGCCTTTTTTCTACCTGTCGATGTGGATGCATAATAACCACTTCTTCAATTTTGTGAGGGGACCGTTCAGGGACAGTCTTTCTGATGACCATCCCTGCCCCAAATCCCTTCTCATCACTCATGGTACATCCCCATCTCCAGAATCTCCATTTCTTCCTTTTCTTTCTAGCCCCCACATTCCTTCATCCTAATCCCAGTTCTTTACTACAATAATTTTTGTTTTCTGCCCTCCTCTGCTCAGCAAATCTCACAAGTCTCTCACATTTGTAATGCCATATTGGTTCAAGTCCCTGCTACAATGGTGGCTTTTGTTTTGTGAAATTGTATGGCTGATCAGAAATTTTATTTCCCTTTGATTTAGACCATATGTACTAAATTGAATAGATCATTACAGCAGAATGACTTGTTGAACTGGAGTCGGTGATAGTTGGATTATTGCTATGGTAATTTTATTTCAGCCTACAAATTGTTGATTATAGATTAGGTTAAAGGGCATAAATTTTTGAACCCATCACCAAATTAGTTAGAGCCCTTTTGGTGGTTGGTCACGTTTTATTTGTGGGTCCACAAACAAAGTTCCACGATATATAGTGAAAAGTTTTAGTACTTTCACAATGATAAAATTGAAATTTGAAAACAAGTTGATCTCATAGAAAACTAGAGCTCTAGTAATATCACCAGCCTCTTGTAAAAGAGCCTATCCACCATTAGCATGTGAAAGAGTAAATGGATAGGAGCCGTAAATAGATGACATTTTCGTGTGTATAGTAGCTATAGTAGAGGTACTTCATCTATTTAAATCCCAGTGACAGCATTATCCCGCAACTCTAGAATCTAAATAGCCAGATTAGATAAACATATGAATTGCTATATTTTCAGAACTACATATACAAATTAGAACCGAACAATTGCAAAAATATCTTTCTAATCAAAATTGAATTTTCTAACAATTTTTTGTCAAGTCACACTCCAGGTTGAAAGCCTCAATTCTGACTTCCACCACCAACTCCAATCCTTGTATGCCAACCCGATTGATACTATAGCACTTGAGTAATTAAAAAACAAACAGAAATTAACATGAGTTTAAAGATTACAAAATCTTATTGGATCCTTCAATTGAATTGAATAGATCATAAAGTAATGGATTAATCTTATATATACTGTCAGTGAATATACTATCACCAATAGATATATGACACATATACAAAATTTAAATTTGAAATTCAAAATTTGCTTATGTGTCATCTATTCAATTGTGATAGTGTATACACTAACAGTGTATATAAAATTTACTTTAAAGTAATTCCAAAAAGGGAAAAAAAAAGAAACAGAGAAAAACAGAGGTAGAAAAATGCCTAGTTAGAATTATTTTGGTGGAAACATCACATGATATATCTTTTCTCCTAAAAAATTACACAAAAATTGTAGATAATCACAAAATGGAACCAAAAAACAAAGAAAAGGAAAAAGAATGTGAAGTAAGAAATCAAATCCTGGGAAGAGAAAAGAAAAGAATGAATTTTTGTTTGATTCTTCATAGAAGATGATCACTGGTATAAAATGAATTCTAATACTTTTTTTAACATATTTTAATATTTCACCTTTTATCCATGAAG